TGGGTTAGTTATGGCAGTTTACTTGTGATTAATCAATATTTGGACTATCGACTAAGTTATCTTAATTTTAAAGATTTCGAATTTTCCTTTCAAGACATGTACAAATGATAAATTTATTCATCTGCTATTAGAATGTATTGTTTGAACCCCATTTTTGGTTAAAGAATTATTTTTAAATAGTGATTTAGTTGAAGAATGTGCTATTGAAAGATAAGAAAAATGTTTTGATTTACGTGTAATGTTATTTTATTAAAAAATGCGTAATTAAAAAGAAAAATGAGAAAAATGTATTTTGATAAAAATGAAATTGAAACCGTAAAATTTAAAATTTTAAACATTATCCATTTGATGGGATGTATAAATCAACGACATGAACAAGGTGGATGTTGGGTTGTTGAACAAATAAATAGAAATGCAACTTCACAAGTTATCACTATGTGATGGTATCCATATGAGACTATACCTCTCATATGATCATCCATGAATTGTATCACGTGTGATTTTTTTGCATATGGGATTCAAGGATCGAACTCTCTCCAAATCAAATGTACATGGTTTTTATCAACCAATATTTTTAACTTATAATTTAATAATGAAGACGATCTTATACGATTATATTTATGCTCAATTCATGTTTGGGCTCCATTTTTTTAAAAATATTTTTTTTCCAAAACTTATTTCTTAACATGTTCTTCCATAAAATAATGTTATATGTAAATCCAAAACTTTTCTTGTTTTTTAACAATGTATTATTCAAAAAATAATTATTCTAAATCACATTTTTTCCCAAAAAAATTCATTTTGATGAAGCCCAAAAACATTATTCTTGGACATGGATTGTGGGTAACGGCCATAATTTGAGGGCATTTATTCCGTTGCCAAGTGCCAAAGCCATGAGCCACACAGATGATTGTGGTGCAACACAAGTTAAGGACAGTGTTAAAATATTCAACAAAATTATTACTTCTATTATTACTACTGTTTATGAAAGAACCTCAAAATGCATGGGTGGTTGTGGATCCATGTTGTTTAAAGTTGTAGTTGAGTGTGTGTGAGTGGGAGAGAGAGAAAGATTTGCGTGGTTGACGCAAAATCAAAATAGATTCTTTGCTTCCAAGTTTAGGGATGATACCTACCATAAGTTTGTATCTTAATTATTTATAATTATTTTTGTTTGATAATTATATTTATTTTTTAAGCCCAATGCTGCAGGACATTGAACTTAATGTGTAATTAATGTAATTGAAATGTTCCTCCAACTTGCTCAACAAATCCCAACACCTCTCATGTTTACATGAGTCTTGTTCTTGCACACTTTGACAAATCGTTAATCATATATGGCCTTTTTCAGTGGGGTAGAGTTGGTCGTGAGCACTTCGTCGATTAAGTCAGTTGAAAAATCAATTATATGAATGTAGGAGGGCTTTAGACATGATCCTGCAATGCAAAAAGGGGGTCGATTTTGGGAGAAAGAATAATGATATGATGGAGTTATATAATAAGAGTTTAAATTTGCATTACATTTGGAATGACACCAAATGTGAACTTTTATAATAAAATAAGGTGAGTAAGACCCGTTGGATGAAAAGATAAGTGGCATCATCCTAGCAACCAGGGCCTCTTGTCATAAGCATCAATCAGTCAAACCTAGGTTCAAGTGCATTTGATGTTATGACCATTTGCAGCTCTAGGTCTAATATGTAAGACTAGACTTTATCGGTTGATTGAGTAGATCCGTCTATTCAGTGAGTTGTCACATTACTCACTTGTTACAGGATCTTGTATGAAGATCTTCCTTATGATGTTTCTACCTATCTCGCCTCATCCATTAGGGCTTGACTCCCATTCGGATAATAGGGGTTCGGACAAATTGCCACACGTGCAGAATGATGTAAAGTACGGACCTAGATTCCTTGCTGTGCAGGTGTCACTTAGCAATTATTAGAGTTTCGTTGGAAGGGGCGTAACATTTTCTTTATTCTTATTTTATATGTAATATTTGAAGTGTGGATGAAAATTATTTATTTATTTTTATGCTGTGAGATAGAAAAATAAATTTTATATAGATAGTTTAGCATTAAATTATTAAATGTTATAAAATAGAGACAAATCAATAGAGTTATGTGTATTATTCTGAAAATCAAAGCCATATATTTATAGGAAATAATTGGGAATACAATGGTAATAAAACTAGTGCTGCAGTGGTATAATTGTCATTCACTAATAATCATATTATTTACAATAATCTCCTTGAATGACATACTGCGAAATATTTACCTCATTAAAGCTTTGTCAAAGAAATTCAATGGAACAAAACTTGATCAAAGGGAAAAGAATACAGTTGCTCCCATAATTTCAATTATCGTACCAATTATCCTTATCTTATAGACTTATACGTTAATGTCTTCAAGTAACACTATCTTCATACAAGATATTTATCAACCTTTAATAATTGTAGTAACATGATCAATCAAAAAATATCCCATGTTGATCTCTTCGGAGGTCTCATACATATTATAGTATTATTTTGAGGGTAAATATCTTGTACATTATGAGCATTCATTACATAAAGAATATACCTAATTAAAACCTAAATAGAAAAAATTTGTGGGGAACATTCTTATGAAGGAGAAAGAGTATATTATTCTCTTCAGTACGCTACAAAAGTTATCACATTAAAAATCTTGGCAGGAAAATCCAGTGTGACAAAACCTTGATCAAGGGAAAAAGAATACAATGCATATTTACTTCCTTTCATGATAATATCACTTGTGTTATGTTTCAACCATATAAAATCCTTCAAGGATAATATTAATGGTCATGCTAAATGAGTTAACTCTAACGTATTTCAAATTTCATGCACAGTAAAGATAACATGATATGAACTCGTGATTTCATCCTCTACGATTGTGAAATTCACTATGTTGATGGTCGTGCATTACATATTATGATTTCATTTTTCTCACTTCTTTTTCGCATAAGTATACACCTTTAGATTTTCAAACTGTAGGTTCATAAATTTCAGGTTTACCTAATGAATTCAATTTAGGATTACAATCGTTTTATTTGGCCAATCATTACTTTAATCGATATATTTCGACACATTTATTTCAATTTCCTGATATATAATGCAATACATTATGTGTAAAGCCATTATCGATAACTTTTTATTTTTCAATTCTATTATTTTCTATAATGACATAACTTATTGAAGTATCTCAATTTTCAACATATCTAATACCTAAATCTCTTCTGGAATTTTATAATTTGCTATGTTTAAACACTCATCAAGAGTGTATGCTTCCTTAACAACCATCTTTGCTAATTGATCTATTTTTGTCTGGAGATTTTTTATATTAAAATCGAATATCATCACACTCCAGGCTTGCCATAAACTTATCAAATGTAATATTAACTAATTATTTTCTAGGACGTTAATTCGAATTTGAGCATTTAAAAATGGTTTGTAAGATATTGTTCATCTATTTGATCAGTAAATATATCTAAATGAATTATCATTCAAACTTCTGATTCAAATTATTTTTTGCGAGGATTTAGATAGGGATACATTTGTACATTATTTTTTGTTTTTTAATTTCTCTCCCTAATACTGAGAAAAGAGTCGAATCAATTTAATAATCAACAAATTGCGTTATAAAATATCATTCGTATAGAATAAGGGTTCAAGCTACACATTCATTTTCAACATTATTTACTTTTCATCTCAGTGTAATATGATGGATTAATTATACATATATTGCATTACTAAATAATTAGATGAAGAAATCAGGCTCTAATCATAAGCCAAATATAATAGGGAGAACTTAATGTTGGTATGATGCACAATATCATTTCCTAAATAGAAATAGAAATCACTTTGTTCTCAATAAAATTAATTGGAGGTGTTTAACAAGCAATAGTGTTAAATCATTCATCGACATCTCAACTAACATTTATTAAAATGTTGAAATTTAAGCTCATTAACATTAATAAGGCACAATACCATTATTGTGTAATCTGAAAACTATACTCATAATTTAAAATTTCAACAATAATTTTGCAATATTCAGGTTGCAAATACCACACAATCATCTAGTGGATGAATCAAATTGTGAAGGTAATAAGTCCCTTTTATCATCCTAATTAATTTTCAGAAATATAGAAAATTCAATCCATATTTTTAACCAGTGCTGATTAATGAAAAAGAACAAATAACATAAAAGAATCCATTGGATTGAAGAATCTTCTAGTTCTTCATTTAATGTCCATTTGAATTCTCAATTTCGCATGATTATTGATCCAATGATGATCCAACATGTAATGCTAAACAATAATAGAGGAAATATAGATGGTTAACGTGGAGGGTGACGATCCCCTTTTATCACTCTAATTTTATTTTATTTTTCAGAAATATAAGGAATGCATTTCATATTTTAGCTAATACTGATTAATGAAAAAAGAACAAATAACACATAGAAATCCATTGGATTGAAGAATCTTCT